AGATGTGTGATGACCGGGATGAACATTCTGACCCTTTTGCTTCTACAGAAACCCAAAAACCAAGTGCTTCACCTTCTACACCATGCCCTCCCAAGACCCTGCGTGACAGGTGAATGTTCTATACAGATCCTCTCCAAACCCCGCACATCAAGCTGACCAGATAATTCTCAATCTCATTCTCCTCAGCAAAACCATAGACATCAGCACACTTCACATCCTTCTAATGTGAAGCAACCAGAAGGTAGAATCTCTTGAAAGCAAAATGTAAGCTTTGACTCAAGTGGTACATAAGATGGCTCAAGAGCCAATTGATAACAATTCTCCTCAATCACAAAGACGTGGTGGCCGTATTGGAGTGAGTCATTCAATAAGCATATACCCACGCATATGATCAATATCTAATGGTGTCAGAATCCACTTGTGTAGGATCTTATTCGGTTTCATGTTGATACTCTCATTGGGGTCAAGGACAGTTCTGATCTTCCACCACCAGACAATCCAGATGAGGAGGGTATGTCTGATACAGGACTTACACGCACCGATGAACAAAACAAAACTCTCGATCCTTGCTTCCCATACAAAAACGGACCTGGACACAAGGATGCAACTCCTCAACAACTCAAAATCATGAAAAATATGTTAGAAGCTGCAGGTCTCTCCAAATTTTGTCCAGATTTTTTAAAGTCAGCATCAGCGCCCAAAAACAAATGGCCTTGGAATGTTTGCTTGAAGATATTCCACAAGCTGGTGGAGTGTGGTGAGTACAATGGAGTGTCTGTGGGCGGAAAGGACGACACCTTCATAAGAAAGTGTCTTGATACATACACTCAATCACTGTCTAAGCGGTATGTTAATAATATCAATATTTTGTAATGTTCTAAACTGAGAAACTTTTTGTATCTGCTACGCGACTTGTGATTTATTCATTTGAATAGGTACTGCTTGCAATCATGGGATCCAGAACGATTGGAGATATTGCGAAGCAGAGTCCGACAAGTTTCCCGACTCCAACATGTCAGTCTTCTTACTGAATTTTTCATTCAAATATAAATTGATCATGAAATCTTTCTATTTGCTTGAAATCCAGTTAAAGAAAACAAGAGATAAAGCAATATTTTCAATACCCATGCAGCTTTTGAAGCTTTCAGCAATACTTGAAAATGCCTGCAGTGATGATGAAACTGACAATGAAGCTGGTATTGAGGGTCACTCTGATGGGCTTATGCCATGCTGTGTCCGAGCTCTGGAATGGCGTAGCAACAGCTTAAGATGGGTTTGTATACTCTTGGACGGATACGTTGAGCAAAGCAATGCAAGTATTCCAAAGTTGGTCAGGAAAAAAACTGGTCGCTTGCCTTGACCTTGGATTTGCCAAGAAAACGCACCTCTCAGTAAGATACCAGCAGCTCCTGGACTCCCCGTTGACTGCTACTCTTCTGAATGGATTGAAAAATTAAACAAGAAGAGCCACTGGTGTATAGTCAACTGGAGGTTGACCCGGTACCAGCTAACCTAGAGCAAATGATTTTGGTATTGAAGGGGATTTAAATACTAACTAAGGCAAGAATCAATGTGATTTGCTACTTTTTCACGAGGAAGGTTGTTTTTATCTTTCATATACTTGTTCCTCGTTGTATTATATTTCATATGTGTGCTGGACACTCATCACTTGAAATTGAAGCACCTTTGTATTTTCTGATCTGCTTAATACATTAACACTAAGATTGAGAAATAGTATCCAAAATAAATGCATATCACCGCTAGTCTACGTACAAACTACGCTACTGTGTAGTGTTTTCTTAACATGATCAAAGACATATACAATGACCTACCATTTGAGTGGTATTCACAGTGTCCTGATCTGTATTGTGTACAGGAATTGTACTTCAAATCTGGATTTTTGTTTTGAAATCCTGGCAGTTTAGAAAACTCAACCACGTTTTCTATAAAAAAATATTTTTTCTAAACCCCGCGGTATATTTGTGATTTGGTGTAGTGAGTGAAGGTTCACATCCAATCTTACAATTAGATTCTCAATTCCAAGAAACTAGACTCATGAAGGACATTTAGGTGAAGTTGTAGCTTGCACAAAAAAATTGAATTTAAAATGTCAACATGAAGAATGATCAACTTGCATGAACATCAGATACTGGTATTGTGGATAATAACACCTATATACATCTCATACACAACTTGTCCTCATCTTCTGCCACATGATTCCAACATCTTGAACATTTTGATCTCCAAGCCGGAAGCAAAACCGTCCGGACTAACGAGAGACACGATAAATGTGCAAATCACACGATCAATCAGGATCAATGACGTAGTACATTGCGTCATTCAAAATTTGATTGACTTAGAGCGTCGCCACCAGTGAAAGGTAAAAGTGGCCTAATTGGGGAGCGTATCCCAGCCTGTTACTCTTTACCCGTGGGAGATAATCTCCCTGGCCGCCACCCATGGCATGCATCCTGCACTCCCGCGTGCCCAATCGGGTATCTCCCTGGAGACCATATCCCTAAACGGTCCCGTCTGCATGACAAGCCTCTGGAATACATCATGGGCTGCAACAGCTCACCGATCATCATCTCAATTGCATTCACATAACCCTTATCGATTGATATTTGCGGCAATACATCACATAACTCTAATCGCCCATTCTTCCCTTTCACCTTTCATTATTCATTTGTGGTAGGATCAAGATATCGACTGTTACTTTGATTCGGTGAGTGAGATTCGATTACTTTGCGGCCTTTGAAGCTTGCAAAAAGGATGCTTATCTCTGCTATGTCATGTTGTAGCAATGTCCCCGCCAACCAAGATGCCACTACCCCTTGAAGCCTTATCCGCAATAAGCAAAGGTGCTGCTAGCAGTGCCAGGATGGTAACTGACACTGCCAATTTAGTTAGCCACATTGTCAATCAACCTCCTCCTAATGATGGCGCCCGCAAGGGTGGAGGATCACTTCCCGGTAAAGCGCCCAATGTTGACTGAAATCACATCAAAGGGCACGAGCAACTTTGGAACAACTACTTTGCCGACCTGCCCAGATACAACGACTACCTTTTTTGTCGACGATTTCGCATGGGACGCCATCTCTTCCTCCGAATTGTTGACGCTGTCACCAAAGCGGATAGTTATTTTGTCCAAAAACGTGATGCAACTGGCCGACTTGGTCTCACCCTGCTCCAGAAATGCACTGCCGCTATACGAATGCTAGCTTACGGTGGCCCAGCCGATCGTGAAGACAAAAACCTCAGACTAGCTGAGTCTACCACTCTTACTTCACTTGGAAAATTCTGTCGCGCTGTCGACAAAGCCTTTGGCAAAGAGTACCTACGCAAGCCTACTGCTCAGGACACCGCCCGTCTCTTGGCGGAGGCAGAAAGTCAAGGTTTTCCCGGTATGTTAGGCTCTGTCGACTGCATGCACTGGACCTGGAAAAACTGCCCAAAGGGATATGCAGTCCAATATCAAGGACGAAAAGGTGATCCCACTCTCATCCTTGAAGCCGTTGCCTCCCAAGATCTATGGATCTGGCACTGCTTTTTTGGCCTGCCAGGTTCACTAAACAACATCAACATTTTGGACCAATCACAACTCTTTACTCAACTCGCGAAAGGACAGGCTCCCCCTTGCAATTGAAAAGTAAATGGTAACGAATACAACATGGGCTACTATCTAGCTGATGGTATTTACCCCAAAGGGGCCACCTTGGTTCAGACAATTCCGCAACCGTTGGGAGAAAAGAAGAAGGTTCTTTATTTTGTCATGTACAGGGTCCAAAAATATAGAGCTAGAGCCGACTTTCTCCATTAGCATTTTGTGAGGTGTCAGGAAGCTTTTCGCAAAGATGTAGCGCGCTGTTTTGGAGTACTGCAGGCCCGATTTGCTATAGTTGCCGGCCCAGCCAGAGCGTGGCATACCGGCACAATAAAAGTGATAATGCAAGCATGTGTGATCATGCACAACATGATTGTAGAAGATGAACGTGCAGACGGATTGGTTGAACCTGAGGCAATACATGAACGTCCGGAATTTTGGCGTTAACGTGCTGAATTTCCTATTTACTTGGCCACTCAAGAAGCCATCTGTGACCAATCTATTCACGCTAAACTTCAAAGTGACTTGACTGATTATTTATGGGACTTTCACGGCCGTAAAGTTGACTTATAGTTTCAATTTTGTTTTATTTGTTTTCTTTTGACTGCTTTACATTGTTTGTTTCGTTGGTTTGTTGGTTTTACTTATAGGTTTACTTTGGTTTTATTTCTCAGCGTGTTTTTTTGCCTTGAACTATTCAAGCCTCAAAATTTTTTGTTTGCTAGGTTCAGTCTGTTTTGCTCGTAGTGTCTGTAATGCAGCAATTGCATTTCAAAGAAAGGAGATACTCATAAGACACAGAACACTAAACCATGGCCAAGCTATGAATGAACAATGATGAAACTCAAAGTATCGACATGAAAGTATAAGTGGTGAGGCGAACAAGGATCACGAGATCATGACCAAGAATCAAATCCTAAAGATTGTCGACGCGAAGTTGAAGCCATTGCCATTTGACTTCATTATCAAACCAATTGACAAATTCGGCTCCTAATCCTCCATCTCTTATAACCTCAGCAGCCAATGCCTTGTCACCAGGTCTTTGTAAATAGGGTCCGTTGTAATTGTACACCTGACCAAGGGTGTCGCAAAGGTCTCGAAACCCTTGTCGGCGCTTACTTTGGATTGAGTGGATAATGTGACGCATATGTTCCTTGGCCTGCTGTTGGCGTTGATGTTCTTCAAGCCGTTCTATCTCTCGCCAAGCTCGAGGGCTTGGGGCTACAAAAAAACAACACAAATGTATGTTAGGCACGATGACTGTAATGATCACAATGAGTCAAACTCACTTTGTCTGTTAGACGGAACACTCTCAATAGAGGGACTGCGCGGTCCTCCTACTTTGGTGAAGTGAAACAGTCAGTATATTTGGTTTCTCCCAAATATATTTGGATGCTCAACATGATTTCATTGATTCATACCAACTTTCTATGTTTGACGCCACGATTTTGATTGAGGGACTACGCGGTCTGGCTACTTTGGCGTCACAGTCAGCATCCTGTTTTCTCGCGATGAAGTTTTGTTGCTTACCCTCAGCTGTTGCATTTTGATTCTCACCTGCATCATCAGCTAAATGCGGAACAATGTGATCGGGCTCTTCAAGAACGTGATTGGCCTCTTCAAGGAATGACCGGTAACAAAGAAACTCTTGTGGTGTAAACTGAGTTCCAGACGTGCTCCCAAGCCAGGTTACTGTCAGAAAGATGAAGGAAAAAGTTAATCACTGATTCATTTTTGTGAATATCATGTTCATCACTGACTTTCAGGAGATCTAGCGCGATTGGACTTGGACGAGGGAGTTGGCAATGGCGATGACATTTTTCAAGGTAAATATATAGCGAAGTTAGTGCTGTGCAAGCTTTATAAGATGAAAGTACGAGACTAAGATGTATGAACAATTTATGTAGGATTCTACAAGCGTTGAGTGTTATAAAAGCCGATATACAATGTAAGAAATATCAACAGAAAATGAAGGATGAAGCAGAAAAATGAGCGGATGAGTGAGAAAGAGAAGCTTTTATATGACTTGTCCTCCACATCGCAGCAGCCGCAGAACAAAACAAATATTTCTACAATCGTACGAATGACTTGCTTGTCATGACAACACACAGGATATGATGAAAGATGCACCATTTCAAAAATAATTTCACATCCAAGCGCTCTGTTAAATCTCCATTTGATCATGATCAACAAAACCCATCTGGGAGGTGTACTACGTGTTGTGTACTACGGCGTTTCCCCTCCCTCACGTGGCACGTTGAAAAATAACAAGCATCATTCTAACATTGAGCATAATCGATTGAAGGAAGTAGCAAGAGAAGTAGTTAGAAAATGATAAGATAACATGAGACGCGAGTAAATAATTGATAATGATCACGGATACAGAGGGCTTTATATAATATATATAATATATATAATATACAAAAAAACAACAAATAAATGTTGATGGCATATCAGCAACGGATAGATAGAGAAATAATACATATTTGTTCAAAGAAAAAGTGCATAGTAGAATTGAAAGCACGCCATAGTCATCAAAAAAACATCAACAAGCTGATCAGTTATTCGGCCAATGAGGCTTCCATGTCTCTCTTGACTTTTGCACGTCGTCTTCCGAATAGATCTTGAGTATCAGGGTCTAGGTCTTCCAAACCCCCTCTCAAGAATGAGTCTTGACTCATGAGTTCAATTGCTTCCGCCTGGCGCTCGATGTGTTTGGACATCGCTTTGCTGGAATTGACAAGCGCTTTAGTGAGGTCAACTATTTCCGGAGAATGGCTAGGTGGCTGCATCTTGAGGTTTTTGCTCGCTTTGGCTCCCATGGGGCGTTCAGAGCTTGTTGGATTGCCAGGAGTAGCGTCAGACTTGTCAGATTTCTTTTTGTCGTTTTGTTTGGTGAGGTGATCGCTCCACTTTGGAGAATCGGAAACCAAATCGTAGCATTGGAAGCGTGCAAACTCGGAGCCTTCCAACTTGAGATAAATAGCATGGGCGTCACTGATGATGTTCTGGTTTGACTTGCCACTTGCATGATAACCCTTAGCCTGTTCAATGCAACCAGCAAACTTACTCAAGCTCTTTTGCAAAGGGCTCCAATGGCTCTGCAAAGATGCGACACTGCGACCAGGTCCGTCACAAAAGGTGTTGTAGGCATCCTGGATTCGCTCCCAAAATCAACTTGTTTGTTGACCTGTACCGATTGCAGGGTCTTCAGAGATGGACACCCATGCACGACACAGTGCGAGGTCTTCAGCTGCGGAGTAGTTGCCTAAGCGAGTCTTGGGTTCTTTGGAAACAGGTTTGGAAGGAGTAGTGGAAGTAGATTTGGACGCAGGTGGTTTGCGGACCTTTTTGGTCTTTTGAGTAGTAGACTGGGATTCATTAAGATTTTGGCTGTAAGATGACGGCTGAGTGTTCATAGGAGACTGGGAGTCATGAAGATTTTGGCTGTGTGTTCGCTGAGACTCGTTAAAATTGGAAGATGCCTGAGAGTGTTGTGATAACGGCTGAGTATCCTTAAAATTCTGAGAAGACTGGGAGTGATTAAAACTGTCGCTGTATGATTGTTGAGACTCGTTCAAATGGTTAGATGCCTGAGGGGGCATGTAAGCCTGGCAGTCAATAAGATTTTGACTTCCAGCCAATGGAGGAGGGGAAGTGAGCATTGGACTTGAACCGTTTGACGAGTGAGTACTGGTGTAAGGTTGAGTTTGACCTTGGCTTGATGGACGCAAGGACCCGAACTGATTGCCTAAAAACAAGGATGTAATAATAAGTGGCCTGAATAACTGCTGACCTTTACGGAACGGAAATCAAACGGAACTTAATCTTACCTCCAATGTGAGACTGGGAGTTGTTGACTATTTGACTTCCAGCGGTTGGAGGAGGTGAGGGGATCAGACTTGAACGGTTTGATGAATGGCAACTGTTGTAAAGCTGAGTTTGACCATGGTGGCTTGACGATTGCAAGGAACCCAACTGATTGCCTAAAAAATGTATGATCTAATTAGTGGACATTGAATGTTGAACTGCTTATGGTTGAAGTTGAAGGAATTACTTACCGCGGAGGAACTGATTAGGTACGCTGCTTCCATGGTTTCCACGATGGTTGGAGGGCATGCCGTTGTGTTGGTTAGGTATGCCTGGTACTAAGAGAAGTCAGGTCATTTATATCGAAGAAGGTGAATGATACAATACATACGACCATCTCGAAACTGATCGGTGTTGGGGGATCCGGGACCTAAAATTGTCAAAGATATTTTCAGTAATGTTGTGAGGTCTGGATGTGGCAACTGGAAAAATACCATGAAAACCATCACGTGGATGAAAGGAAGGCTGGCGCTGCCGCACTTCAATTCCTTTGACTGGACACACAAAGGTAAGTGTCAACGTGATATCTTGAGGTAGGTATATGGTATATGAAAAAAAAACCCACAAGGACGCTTGGATGGGGTGTTCGGAGGATTGGAGTTCATGACAGTACTGAGCCAGAAGGAAGGGAAGCGAGTTTGAAACAGGGACAAAGCAAGAAAGAACAGTCCTTTAATGGCCTTTCTGAGCCTTGGAATACCATCTATCCTATCCACCGGAAGTTTCAGATCCGTGGTCCTGCGAGGGTCTTCACAAGATCAGGTGTGGAATCGACCAGGCCGAGCGAGGTGCGTGATCGATCAAGATCGATCAATCGGTTGGTGTTCAAGCGAGGTGATTGTTTGGAATGGTGGGAGTCTGTGGGAGGCCAATGGGGAACGGATGATGTCAGAGGACTTTGTCTCGATGCTTGATTGGGCGAAAATAAATCAAATGTGTTGTGTATGAGGTAAAAATTGGTCTTGCATATTTTGCTTTTGGTTGGCTACATGTAGCCAACCAAAGGTGAAATATGCAAGAGGCCCGTGTGAAAATGTCAGTTTACATCCCCCGGTGCCTCGAGCTCATAAGGTAAAACTGACACTTTTTGACGTTTTCCCACCTCTACCTTACGCTGGTGGCGATGCTCTTACAAGGTCATCCACCGGAATTTGAATTTGAGGTGACCTCATCTCTCCATGCTGGAGATGCCAGGTTGACAACTGTTTTAGCAGCGTTGAAACTTTTGCATATTGATACGTCTGACAACCCGAACAGACGAGGGAGTAGATCGGCTTCTAACTTCAAGACCCGTGATGTCAGGTTAGAATTAGAGAGTGTGACAAAGAGCTCGTATAAGGTCAATCGATCACGCACTATGTTCTATGAGGTTAGACATAACCCGAGCTTTAGACGCTTCACAGCTGGAGAAATCGAACACGGCCTCGACTTCAGACGCAACCGTGATTTTCCTGAAGATACAATCGAAAAAGAGCGTAAATCAACAGGTCAATCTAGGAGAACGTAGAGCGATTAGATAGAGACCGTCTTGCGTCTCCTTCCGAAGCGACTCCAGTTCAGCTTGTAGCGTAGGTAAGCTCAAAGCAAACCCCTACTACTCTGGCTTCGGCGTATGGGGATCGGACGGCCAAAACCTTCTGAAGCATACTCTTATGCACTCACCATGGCCAACATCTTCAATTCCAATCCAAATGTTTGCGTTTCACGGTTAGTTTTCATCCCTCCTTTTCTGATACTGAAAACGATACTGATTTTCATTTGATTACTGTAGACTATTGATGAGACGAAATTATTGTAGACTGATTGAATCGACTACCCGAGCCCGATTGTCTTCTGCTGCCAGTGACTCGAGCGTGGCAGCAAGTAACGAGAATGAACACCAATCTACAGAGTCACCTAAAATGTCATCAGAAGACACTGAATCAGTTCAGCCGAGTCCACGAGCGGTTGCAAGAATCTCATCCAACATAGCCAGGATCAAATTGAATTATCGAGAATGGTGGACGTGTTGTGATGTATTGATAGATTCAGGATATGGTGAAAAGGATCCGATTTCCACATGATCGAATTCCAACCAGTTCTTCAGAAAGATTAGGATCACCAAAAGAAGGAGAAAAAGTTTCAGAACAACATGAAAATTGTTTTTTTTAGCATATGTTTGGACCTGGTGGACCGATTGAGAATGAAACAGTCAGAACCCCACATAAACAACAAAACACTCACAAAGAAGGCGGGCCACTGCTCACAAAAGATACCGAAGCCTTCGACAGATTCCTTATTGTGAGTCTTCACGTACAACAACGTCTCGTCAGCGAGATGTGGTGAGATTGGAGCCAGGGCAAAACGATAGACTTTTAGGATCTACGTAGATTCCAAGCAATGACAAGCAACTTGGTCAATGAGTAAATGATCATCATTGGTATGAAAGCCAGAGAGTAATCTTACTTGGCTCATTACATACGCGACGTTCTGCCTATTCACACTTTCATCCGCATCATTGTACAGTGTATCTTTGCCTACTTCAAAATAGAATGCCGACAGCGTATTTCCTCGGAATTCGGTGATCAACTGGACAACTGTAAAATGAATATCAAGCAAAGAGTTATGGTTGGTCAACATTTCAGAAGTGATTCGAAAACATTGCAAAATAGGACGAGTGTAAAAAGATGCTATTATTAACCTTGATTGAATGACATCACATTGTAAGCTGAAATGATAGAACGGTATATAACTCTTGATCTGAAGGTGAGTCGTGAAATAAATGGTTTAGGATATCACCTTGACCTAACTTGAAAGAAAAATTTGATCACGATTTCCAAATCTCCCATGAAAATCTCTGATTATTCACATCCATCAAGGTTAACCGGATCAAGATCATTCAAACCTGCCTCATCAAGTCATTTCTTACAGACCTTGATTTCTTCGAATTACTTTTCAAAATGACTCAACCTGATCCAACAACTCCTAAGCAACAAAAGCTACTCGACATCTGCGATTACATCAAAAGCCTTGACACCACCCCCAAGGACTTTGTCCGACGGATGTTGACCTCTCCAAACGCCGCCATAGCCAAACGACGTAACAGGTGGGCCAACGAGGCTGGCTGGGCCTCAACACTTCAAATCTTGAAAGGATTCAAGACTTTAATATGTAGTGAAAAGGAAGGTGGAAAAGAGCGATGGGCCCAGTTTATTCTAGAGGAGGTTTGTGCAAGAAACTTTCTCTTTCTTTGATTATGATTTTGAATTTAATACTTCTCATTGAATGACACAGGCAAAGGAAATTGTGAACCAGCAAGACTCTCCAAGTGGTAACCCACCTGATGGAATGTACTATCACCCAAAAAACATCACATCATCTTTTCTTGAAGCAGAGTCTCAAGAGTTTCGCAATCAAGTTGTTTTAGAAAACATGCCTTTCTTGTCTGAATTGATTTCATCAAAGTTGGAACATGCTCAAAAAGCTAGAGGTAAAAGGCGATCAAAGAAAAAGGAATCAGAAGACAGTGAGGAATCAGATTCTGAAAAGGATTCATCTGCAAGCAAAATTGAAGCCTCTAGGCTTGCGCAGGTGTGTCTCTTCTTCATCTTTCCAAGAACTGGAAGGACTTTACTAACCATGATGGGGATTTTGATCAGCTTCCGGCTATAATGTGTTCAATGCTTGCCTACGCCTGCAATCGCAGGCATTGTGGCTTCCAGTTGGAGACAGCAATCAACCTTTTACGGATTGGGATAAATGAAAAAGTTCATAATTACCTTCATTCAATTGGACTCATCACTTCACACGCAACAGGGAGGAAAGCTAAAAACAAACTGTTTCCTTCAAAGCCCAAAAACAAATGAGTGTTGTTTGATTTTGTTGTGATTTCCTTTAGAAACTTTATATCTATCTTGGTTATCTCCGCTTAACATTGCTTTTATACTCTCTTCTTTTACTATTTGTGACTCTAATCAAAAAGAACTTGAGGGCACATAATTCAGATGCACAAGGTCAAGTTACCTTGAAGTAACAAAGCTTTCCAACGTGAATCATTGAGTGTCTTGTTTTACCTTTGTGTACTGCTAAAAAAACTAGAGGATTTTTCTTCACATCAACCTTCTCAAGAAGATCTGTTTCTTGTATAAATCATCAGTAACGCTTTCACAAAAAGTTTTCATTTTCTCAAAAACCACCATTCGTAGAAAGCCAACTGCAAGAGGTATATAGACCATGCCATTGACCAATCAGAATTTCTCAATAAGCTCCAAGATACATAATTTATTATTCCTTCAAATCAATCTTCTCAAGTAAATTGATTTCACCAAAATTTTCATAAAAGATTATAAAAAGAAATCATATTCAACAATCAAAAATTAAACAAACAAAAGAAAACAAGAACAACTGTTCAACAGAAGCAAGACATACAGTTAGAAAGCTAAAAAAACGAAATATTCATAACAAAGATTTCAAGCAAACAAAAAACATGAAAAAAAACCTATTCTCTCTCATTCGAAATTTTTTTTCTCTTCTTTGAAAAAACATAATAACAGTGCATGATAAAAATGAGGAAAGATATATCATCTTGTGTGATTTTTTGGTTGGTAAAGATCATGGATATTGAAAAAGTAAGAAATAATAATCAAATTTAGATATCAATCAACTTTGGAGTAAAAAAAACAGAAGAAAAGCATATCTACATCTCGACCAAGAATCAATTAAACATCAATCAAATCAATCAGTTCGACCAGGAGGTTTACCAATCCAACCGTCTTTAGACAAAAACCTATGAGAACTTAATTCATGAGTAGTCGCCCGTTTCTCAGGTTCTAAAGTTAAACATTGATTAAGCAAATCGATCCCATCTAAATCTTTACCATTCAATCCAATCGATGATCTACTACCTTCAACAAGTCCTAAGCTTGCTTCATCTGAATTCCAAAACGGACATTCTCCACACATCAAAACATACAATAAGACTCCTAATGCCCAAACATCAATTTCTTTACCTCCATGTCTTTCTCCTCTTAAAACTTCAGGTGCTGCAAAACTTTTTCAAGAAAAAAAATTTACCCTCAATCAAATATCAATTCTCAAAATCAATTCAAAAAGAATCAAAAAACAAATTACTCACTCAAGTGTACCTGAAAACGTATCAAACTTTTTCCCATCCCTAACATAAGCAGCACTTCCAAAATCAATCAATTGAACATTCCCCTCTCTATCCATAATCACATTCTCATCCTTTAAATCTCGATGCACAATATTCCTTTCATGTATAAAACAAACAGCATCTAAAATTTGACCAAAGATCCGTTTGACTTCTTCAATATCTAATCCTTCAGGTCTTGAATCAATATATTCAAATAAATCTGATCCATCTCCAAAGAATGGCATCACAAGATAATAATAATCAGTATCTTCAAAATAATCTAAAATACCACAGATATGTGGATGTCCTGTTCTTTGTGAACTATTCGGTCGATTATGTGAGATGGTTCCATCTCCAACTTCATTAGATAAGACTGGGTTACTAGCATCAGGACCGATTATTGATGGACGATAGCTCACCCGCCTGAGATGATCTAGTACATGGATTTCAACAGGTATAGGTCCGAGTACCTTGTGCCGTTTCCAACAATCTGCTAGAATCTTCTGTTTGATGATGTATTTGATGATCAAAGATGGCGCATCTGGCCCAGCTCCCCGTTCCCTTACCTTTTTCACCACCCCATAGGCTCCTTTACCTGCCTCGCCTTCAATCACAAATGAGTCAATAGAGCGATATCCTGTAGAAGCAGAGTATGAGCGTGGATCAATTGGTGTTCGGACCACTCCATCATGCAGGAGTGAGCAAGGTCGTATAGTAGGAGGTTGAGAAGCGTCAAGAATGGAGGTAAGAAGTGTGGTAGGTGACGTAGGAGGCGAAGGCCGTTGAGAAAGACCTAGTGATTGTGATGACATGGCCGAAAGAGTTGGTATTGAACCGGAAGATGAAGCACGGGGTTGATGAATCCGACTGATGTTGGTATGAATGATACCAGTGACCGACGTAAGAGTAGGAATTGCTGCAATTGGTTCGACATCACTTGGTAGTAAGGCACTGATTGGTAAAGGCGAGGTGCAAGGTTCTTGAAGCGTTTGTGTTTCAGAGTTACATGTAAGAGAAATTGAATTGAGAGATGGAGGACATCGGGTTTGTCTTGATGAGTTGTGATTTTGATCAGGTTCATTAGATATTGTGGGTGATGCATCATCAATATTGAGAGATGGGAATAAAGCTGGATTTGTTGTGTTGAGAGAACCAGTGGAGTCATCTGAATCATCTTCTGGATCATCTTCATCCCGACCATCACTCATATCAAGCCCATCTGTGAATTTTCGCATATCGCCAGGCAACCCGCCAAGTGAGCGCCATTCCTAAAAAAGAGACATAGGTGATTGATATCAGTGGAGATGCTAAAGTTGACAATTTCGATTGAATGACCTACTTCAGTTGTTGGCGTCATGACCACCTCACCCAGACGAAGACAAGTTGAAACTGAAGTATTGATGACTGGATGAGATGGTGTACGACAAGTGTTTGAGGTGGAAGCCGAAGGAGTTCTGTTAATTCCAGGTGAAGAAGGAGGATGGGTATCCCAAGTGAATCGATTGAAAGCACCATTTAAGCTATCAAATCTGGTAGTCCCATTTAAATCAGAAAGTCCACCGATCCGAGTGCCACCTCTACTTCTAACTTGACGAACACTTGAAGGAACAGATTGAGAAGGAGTAGGTAAAACCTGAGGAGGAGGAGTAGAAGAGCCTGATGAAGATGTGATAGTTTGCTGTTGCTGTTGTTGTTGTTGTTGTTGATTAGATTGACGAGATTGTAAAGAAGCCAATCGACGTTTTTCTTGAATGACAGACGCAATTGAAGGACGCTGTTGAGAGAATGGAGAAGACATTAAAGCCGGATGATTGAGAGTAGAAGGATGATTTAGATAAACCAAGTTAGGTTTGATATTTTGATTTGATTTGAATGAATTGCAGGAGATGAAGTTCTCGAAATCGATTGAAGCTTGAAAGTGTTGATGGTTAGTATTGGTTTGAATCAAGTTCGTAATCAGTTCATCATGATAAGTTGTTGAATTAGTTTTTTAATTTTGATATTCATTGGTTCAACAATTTGTTCAAAAATCTTCAAAAGTTCATCATTAAAGTTTCAATCAAAAAATCAAAAGTGAAAGACAAAGAATTTCAATCAGCTCAACAAGAAAAATGTTCAAGATTTCTTTAAGCATTGGTTAAGTACATAGACTTAAGTACAAAAAAAAATAATCCCGATCAGATGGATTCTTTATGCATCAGCTGATCTCTTGAAGAAACACCACGTGGTCCATGGTCCAACAGAAAATAACCAATCATCCCTCAAAGCTCCTGATCAACTGTTTGGCTACTGGCACTCCATCAACTTATCAAGTTGGGGTTAGGATATTTAAAAATGTTTTGGCTAACTTAAGCAGGATTCTATTCAAAACCTTATCCATCTTTGACTACTCAGACATCCTGTAGAGCATCATTGACTTCATCCCCACAGCCTACAGGTACAGCACAGGATGATTGTGTGCCCATAAGCGGTCAACTTCAGTCACAGATTGGCCAGGTCAAATTTTGAACCACAGCACCCATCTCAGATGCCCGTGGACAATTGGTTGCAACTGATCCTGCCTGCCCTTTTCAGCGGGCATCACCATGTCCGGGTAGCATTTGCTTGTCAACAAGCGCGCACAACTTCCCTTTCTCCTCAAAGGAAGTTGGTGTGCGCTCTTTGAGGAGAAAACCCTACACAGACACAGTGCATGCGGCCAGCCTTGGACCACAAGTCCTACCAATCAATGAATCCTAGCCAGGAGACCAGCTAGCCTCAGGTGCAGCATTGTAGTGGTGCATAGAGTGTTTTGCAAAACTCATGGCCACCACATCTATCAACCCATTCATACCCACTAACTCAAGTAGGTTTCTGTATGTGAGTTATAGGAAGATTATCAGCAGATCAAAATTGTAGATATTGAAGATGTTACCACAGAGCACTCAGACCCTTGTGTTTGATGCAAAGCTTGTGGTGGATGTTCAATGTCTGGTTACAAGCATCACATCAAATCCTTGGTGCATCAACACAATGTTGGACAATACCCAGCTTGCCAGGCAGCCAAAGAGCAATTGCTTGTGGGGTTAGAAGCACAAGGATCAACAGAAACACATACACTTCTAAATCCTTTCATGGATAAGAATGAGCACTTGGAACACAAACCTTATCCATAAGAATCTCTTGAAAATCCACCTTCACCTCTCAGCTATCTCCAGTTGCTGGACCCATCCAATCATCTTGTGCAAGGATTTTTGTATGAAGCTAGTTTCTCAGATGAGTCTGATATCAACACTCATCAGCTTTTTTGTGCCTTTGAAACACTATCAAATAATCTGGACCATGAATTTGGGACATCATCTGACAAAGAGGACCCTGAAGACTGCAATTGATCAAGTGCTAGAGCTCAAGAGGCAACTGTGTGGTATCTGTTCAAAAATAAAGAGGGTGTACAATTGTCAAACAGTTGCAAGCAATATCCACTGACAACATCTTACAATGATTTCTTATATCTCAGCAGCTAGTTGAATTGCTCATAATTAGATTAATAAGAAACCTTCTCTCTTGCAAGCAGTACAAGCAGATTCACTTGATCTTGTGCATATGTGAATGAATCTCCCAACATGTGGAACCCTGAGGGATATGAACAAGCACTTTGAGAAATTTTGAGTTGCTTTGGAATCAAGTCTTTTTGTGTTTTGTGTAGGATGATTCTGACCTAAGAGTGTGCACAATAGCACAATGAGAACCTCTGCCTAACACAAAACTAACAAGATGATTCTGACCTAAAAGTGTGTACAATAGCACGATGAGAACCTCTGCCTAACACAAAACTAAGAAGATGATTCTGACCTAAGAATGGTACAGATGATGATTAGTCTAAGTTATCTCTGTTTTGATAACTGATCTTTTGGGACTATAAGAGATGGATGTTTCTCTTTCCAAAGATAATGATTTTATTCACCTAAGAGTGTGCACAATAGCACAATGAGAACCTCTGCCTAACACAAAACTAACAAGATGATTCTGACCTAAAGTAACCAATAGAAATAGTTAGAAAAGATCAAATATGACTAATAAGGAATTATAAGATGAGTACCTAAGAATGGTACAGATGATGATTAGTATAAGTTATCTCTGTTTTGATAACTGATCTTTTGGGACTATAAGAGATGGATGTCTATAACAGTTGAAGACATAATCCAAACATAACCACAATCAGAAACAACAACATTAACTTGAATAATAGTCAGAAAGAAAAAATAAAAATTTACGTAGTTCTCTTTCCAAAGATGAGGAAAGAGAAGTACACTTGAATTCACACTAGACAAGTATAAGTACCAATTTGATCTACCAAACTAACTGGGGTAAATGTTTTGTAATTGTTTCATCATTGGTTTATCTTAATTAATTCTCCTTCTCCTTTTGTGTTTCCTAATCATTTGTAAGTGTAATGTATTTACTTAAGTTGATTGCACATTTCAACACACTTGAATTCAAGACTGAGCCTTAACTTGTCTGAAAGGAATAGTGCATCCAGCACTCCACTGTTTGGGATGAGTGTGAAGATCAACAATTATTAGACCAAAAATGTCCAAGTTGCATGTGAGACACTGCCTAACCACAAGGTTGCAAAGCTGTGCAAGAAATCAAATAAGGGTACTTGGAATTCAAGAAGTGGTCTCCAGAAAGGTCAAGAAGTGACATCCAGAAGTGTCTTGAGTGTCATTTCTGAAGCTTTCTTTGTAGCTTTGAGAGCCCCATATCAAGTGGTGATACTGATCTGAGCACAAAATTTTGGAAAAGCTCCCTTCACATCTTCTCTTCTTTGTTTGCCCTCAAATTCTAAAGAATGTGATTATAATCCATAAACAGAAAGAAACTACAATATAGCACACACATTTGTTTTTTGTTTTTTTTTTGAAGTAAAAGGTGGTCTTTAACAATGATATTCAGATGAATTTCAAATTGAATCAAAAATAGCATACACACACATATGAGTGGAGTTCAGAGGTTCTCAGCTCAAGAAGCTCCAGAAGCTCCAGAAGCTAAGTTTCTTGAGCATGTTCAAAAAACTTCTGGAAGTCACTTCTTGACACTTCTGGAGCCCACTTCTCAAATCTTGAGTACCCTTAATAAAGACATGAGGGCCCAAATCTATTCAACCCCATGTAGAGGCTAAAAGGTGAGTATTAATCTTATTTACTGTATTTTCACTCCATATTGATATGGTTGCTCAACATTTATTATTTCTTGGGTTTTGACAGTCACAGAGATACAGCTTTTGGATTGCTTCATGTGGTGCTTCCGGGAATCACAAAGTATCTATTTTCAACCTCATGAAAGGACTTGTACCAATAAAACCTGGTTCACATAAGCTCAACAAAATCTTGGCATGTTGACAAAATTTCAGTACAAGAGGTTTGAACATGCCTCAAATCAAGGCCACCAATCTAACCCAATTTTACCATAGTCTGATAGGAGAAGATCTTTGGACAGTTCTGCAAACAGTAAATTTTGTATTTTTTGTTTATACCACCAGAGAGCAGTGTGATCTTTGCTTATCTTCATGTATTTTATTGTTCTATATTTTTCAAACTAGAATCTCTGATATGAAAGCATAACTCCTGGAAGTGGATGACCACATAGGCTCTTTCCTCATTCAATTGGTTAACTTCACCGCTCAATGGGTTAACAACCCCAAATTTCATATGTTGATTCACCTTCAAGAGTGAATTCAACTTTTTGGTCTTGTATGTCTTTTAGCTGCTGAAAACATGGAATCTTACAATGTCAACCTCTGTGATGCTTTGATACATTGCAACAAGCAGATCTACATTCATGAAATTATGAATAATTTTGATACCAAAGTTATGTTACACTTGCTAATCTCAGGGCATCTTTTTTTGACAAAGGAACTTCAGGGTCATGTGATGGTAGGACCTTGAGTCAAGTTTTGGTTTGCAGCTGAACCTTGGTTGAAAAAAGCCGTAGGTCTTTATAATGAGAGCCCCAAAAAGCAATACACTTTGGCTCATAGTGAATTTTCCATTGTCACATTTAGGTCCCAATAAAACAGTAGCACAGCTGCCTTGATTTCCTGAATCTGAGAAAGGAGCAGAATTAGTTTGTATTGACAGTGTCACTTTGCCTAGTTGACAGACCGTTTGCTCACTCTGTTTTTTTGTGAATCTGGACACACTGTTCTTTCAGTGTTGAGCTTAACTTCCACTCCTATTTTTTGCTCCAGCTCACAACCAATCCAATCATTGCGTAGTTTGAATCTATATGGAAGCCTATTGGACAATCCACAATCAAAAAGGTGGCTTATTTCCATTTTATGGGATGCAAGAGATATCAATGAGGAACCATGAATTTGTAAGGAGTGTCAAGGTAGACTCATTCACCTCTAATTCAGGTATATCTCATTGTTAACAGAGTATGTGCTGTCTGACTATCAGAATTTACCAACATTCCTCAAACTACAGCACAAGTGTCAGCGGTAAGAAGTTTTGCAGAGCAAAACTCCTACACAACTGACAAAACCATAACATCACATAACCTACGAGGTTATAACTCCTCTTTATGGCATATACAAAAAACATAAAAACACAACTTAATCACTAACACACATCGCTACCACTCAGTGTCAAGAGTGTAACCAGAATAAAACCAGAAACCCTTACAACTGACAACTAACACCCGAGTTAGTCCAACCCAACTATATTATGACAATATAGAGAAACCCTTACCAACACTAGACCCTGACCAGACTAACTGGTCTATACCAAGGGTAAAGGTTGCAATGACCTGGCCCTTTTTATTAAAACAGGAACCAGTGATGTATGACTATCACAACTAGGCAAAATCAAAAGCTATAAAAAACCTAGTTACCTTTCAAACAGAAAAAAGAATCATCCAATTATAAACTACAAATTTTTCCATTGGCATCTGTTACCTTTCTATCATAGAAAACTATTGTTAGAAACTCACCTCGCTAAAGGACTCATCCCTTTACGGTTCACCAGGAAGATAGTTACTTCTTAGAACTCTTATCAATAGACTCTTTAAAACTCATATCCTCTTTTGAAACTT